GTTACATCAATCCTCCCACAGTGCACCAGCCACAGCCCTTTTGGCCTTTGGGGTCCTGAGGTGATGTGGAAGAGAAGGGTCACCTGTTTTTTTTTAGTATCTCTGGGGTATGAGTTACTTTAACCCTAACTGTCTCTCCTGCTGCAGAGAAGATTCCTAGAATTAGAGTTTTCCTTGGACACTACCATCTGCTGCTTTCTGATGGAAATTAGCAATTATGCAAATTAGCAATTAATTATGCACATTAGGAACCAAAAATTTTCTCAGCCGGCAATCCCTAACCAATTCCAAACCCCCCCCAAAAAAAAAAAAAAAAAAAAGAAACTACCTGCAACATAATGGGGGGGGTAAGAAAGAAAGGAAAAAACAACCCCCTCAAAAAAATAAAAAAGAAAGTCCAAGCCCCAGTCCAGACTGCAGACAGGAGTGCTGGGAGTCGCTTTTGTTCCTGGGAGAGAGAATTCCTTCGGGAAGCTGCTCTACTGAGTCTATGAGTTTCTACAGGTAAGAGCAGAACTAAATAAGAGCTGCCTGACTGATGATGTCAAAGCTGTTCTTTAGGGCTGGGATACCAGCAGGGAGCAGAACTGGTGTTCAGGTGTGTTTAAACACTGCTATGAGAACACAAATGGTGAAGACAATACCTTAAAAATCCACATTATAAACCTTCTTGATTTCAGCCAACTTAAAATATGAATAATCATATGTATAATAATATGTATGTGTGATATGGATCATCTTGTAATGCTGCAGTGGAGATACCTCTGTGTGCACTTTGGGAGCTGATTCCCAGGGCACCTGGTGGGCTGGAATGATTCCAGGGTGTTGTAACCAAGGAATGCCTGGCTCCTAAAACTCACCAGTTGAGTCTTAGAGGTTTTTTTTAGGAGCTGATTTCAGGCAGCAGAATTGGCCCCTCAGCAGGCCCTCTGCCTGCTCTCCTGGATCCGAGGGATCTCTGGACCTTCACCCCAGCACCGAGCTTTTCTTGGGAAGGCCCTCAGATCCCTGGGACACAGGCAAGATCCCCCTGCATTATATAAATCAGGCATTCTTCTGGCTTCCTGCCCATACATGTTGGGTGGGGTATTTGGTATTTTGGATGTTAATTGGGGAGTCTGGACTTAAAAGTTTATTTGGCCTTGGGAACTGGTATTTAGGTTTTTTTTCCTGTTCTGAGTACTTGAAGTTCCAAAGAAGGCATCTTGAACAAATGACTTTTGGGTTGTATGTTGAAAGCTCAGGAACAAATTGGGGCCTCCCTGGAGGGACGGTGCTGTCGATGCCCCTCGGGGTTCTTGGACCCCGAGGACTCCAGCACTCACCAAAAGGATTATTTGGGGAGATCTTCTGGCTCCCCAGACCTGGGGTGTTCAAAGCAAGATCCCTGGGATTTTATTTAGGCATTCCTGGGAGTATAAAAGGCGTACCTACCCATCTTAGAAATGGAGCTCTATAATGTAATATAATTGGTTTATAAAGGTGGTGATATAACTGTAAAAGAAGTGTGATATTGGGATTGAGAAATGAGTAGTGATGGTACAATTGGCTATTTTCTATTAAATGTAATTGTAAGAGCTCTTCTCAGAGGAGGCAAAACCACTTTGCTTTCCCTCGTAGGACTAACTGAGGCTGTGGATTGCAATGCAGAGCATCTGCAGGCTCCTGGTGCTTGGGGCTGTGGTGTTTGGTGTGCAGGAAACATCCCTGACTGTCTGACCTGGGTGTGGATGTGCATTTCCAGGAGTGACTCAGGCTGGGTATCCCACCCACCCAATGCTTCTCCTGATGAAGCTCCAGGACCAGCAAGTCCCTGAAACTTGAGGGAGAGAAGAAATGAGTTCAAGTAGAAAGATCAGGTAACAAATCTTGACTAATAAATCTTTTCCTGCCCAGAGTTGTTACTGTGAGGGGAAAAGCCTTTGCATCCCTGTGGAGCTGAGCTGTCAAACAGCCCAGAGAGGTTTGGTTTCCAAGTGGGAGACAAATCTGGGGCTCACTCCTTGTCTGGTGCCAGCTCTGCTCTGTGCAGCTGAGTGGGCAGGAAGTGCAGAATAAAGTTCAATCCTACCTTCAAGCAATTCCCAAGGAGCTGATGACACTCTAGTGAAATCCTGACCTGGGACAAGGCTGTCCTGCCTGTGGATCGATCCAGGTGGGCGCAGTGCTCCGGGCTGGGAACGACAGTTCCTGCCCCGCTCCCTGTCCCGCGCCAGAGCCCCAGGAACTGGGATCAGGGGGCTGGGGTGGCTGCAGCCCCCTCTTGCTCTGGAAGGGAAGCCAAGATGAGCCCAATTCCCAGGGCCTGTGCAGGGGCTCCCTGTGCAACAGCAGTTCAGTGTTTTAGTCCATGGCTTCTCCTGGTACCTTGACGACCGTACCTTGGTCTCTCCCTTATTTTTCAGACACTCACATCCTGCTATTTTTGCCCCCCCTTCGGGGGCTGCATTTTGCCAGTGCAATTTTCCCACTTTTCAGTAGACCAGGGATCACTTTTCCAAGGTCCCCAGGACATTTCTGGAGCTGACCCATTACTGAGCACAGAGCACAGGACAAGGGAAGAACAAAGTTTTTAGCACTTTACCACATGACAATTTCTTTTCTCACAACAACTCGCTCCAGCTCTTCCCATCTCAGAAGATTGTCTTCGTTCAGCCTCCAAGGATTCTGTGAGGAGATTTCACACCCATAAATCAAGATCCCAGACCCAGAGGGCTGTCCATGGAGGTGGAGCAGTGTTGGCTGCTCCAGTGAACTTCCTCACGGGCCCAACATAAAAATAATGGCATCACTTCCTAATCATCATGGGTTGTACTGTAACAATGGAAAACTCCTTCTGCATGTCCAGAGGCAGGAGATTGTCCTGGTCAGGCTGTGAGACCTTAAACTGCACATTTGTCTGCGGGGCTGTGACTGGGATTCCAGCAGGGAATGAGCCTCCTTACACATAAAAACTCTTCTGGACACCAGCACTGAAAAGGTTGGAAGCTGCTGCTTCACCCCATGGTGTCAGAAAAAGAGAGAAAACGCAGAATGTGTTTCCCAAAATAATGATTAAATGATTCCTCCTCCTTTTAGTGGGACCAGGGATAACTGTGCTATGGAATGACAAAGAACTTCTCCCTCAGACCACCAGAGACCCCTCCAAAAGCCAAACTGCAGCAGGTCAGGATGGCAGGGCACCTCTGCCTCACCTGTTAGGGACAGTGCAGCTCCTGCTGGTCCCAAGGGCTGGGAACATGGTGGGAGCCAAAAGCACCTTCCCAGGCCAGAGGGTCTTTCCTAAAGCACCACCTCTGGGAAGCCAAGGGTTATGGAAGAAATGGAGAGGTGATTTACAACAAAAACAAGAAGAATCACAGCAACAATAATAATAATATTGGTGAAGAGCAGCAAAGGGAGCAACAATAAGTCCAAGGGAGCAGGAGGGATGCTGAGCTTTAAATGGGGTTTGGGTGAGGCAGCATCTCCCAGGATTTCTGAAGCACAGCTCCAGCTCTGGAATTATATGATCAGTGCAAAGTCCTCCTGTCCACTCTGCATTTGCCTCCTGCGGTGCTCTGGCACCTCAGGCATGTTTGGGTGAAAGTGCTCCAGTGCTGCTGCCTGAGGGACCAGGAAAATGGGCATTTAACCACTTCCCACAGGGCTCTGTGCCTTTGGCACCTCGGGCTTTTCAGTAAAACCTGTTTCCATCACTGTGAAAATACACTGAATAAACCCAGCATAGATAAATAACCTTTCTCCAGAAGGACAACCCCAGGGAATACTCAACTATTCCTACACCTGGTCAAACACACCAGCAGCCGCTTCTTGGGGAGAGATTCCAGACTCTTGGCTCCCTCCCTGGCTGTAAAACACTTGCAGAAGCTTTGAAGTTCATACACACATATCAGGATTTGGATACTTGGGCCTTAATTTAAATTCCATTGCCACTGAGGAATTGGAAGTGTCCTAAAGGCACCTCCACTCATACTTTCCTTTTAAGCTTCTTTTTCCCAACCATGAATTTTGCTGTTCTTTTGTCAGGAACACTCCACCCTTGCTTCTTTAGGCATCTCCATTTGGGAAATACAATATATGTGGAAAAAGTTTGGAATGCTGCTTCCAACTACACCCTTTCAAGGCATCTCCAAGGGCTATTGCTTGGGATTTAATTCCTGTGAGGGAAGACTCCCTTGGCTTTAACCCTGCTGCAGGCCATGGAATGTTATGGTGTTTTCCCCCAATATTTTGAGGTGCTGCCCTGAATTAGTTGATTTCTGCCTCCCTCCCGATGGTGTTTCCCAGCAGTCCCACGGCATCTCTTGGGCAGTGCAGCTGCCAGAGGTCCCTCGGGACTGTGGGACAGGCAAAAACCCCACAGCAAAGGAGAACCTGGATTTGGGAGATGGAGAATTGAATGGCACCAGTTTGAGCTATGCCAGTCCAGTGAATGCCAAAGGAAATAATTCCAAGACTCCTCCAGTGGGAATGTTTTTCCTGGATGTGTGTAAACACAGGCACAGCTTTTTACTGCGGAGTGAGTTACTGAGATTTGGGGTTGTTTTCTCAGTTCCCTCTGTAAGTTTTCCCTCTGTCAGCCCCACTGGCCAAGTGGGAAGTACCACTTGGGTTTGGGAGCCCAGATTCCCATCCTCGTGCAGACGTGTCCTGCAGCCTCCCGGGGGGATGTTCCTGCAGCAGCGCCCTGGGGAAGGGATGAGACATCTCCTGGCACTGCTGGAGCACAGGAACCCCACTGACTCCCACCTGGAGCACCCATTAATGATCATTAAACTTACTCCAGCAAGGGAAAATGCAAGTTCAACCTATTACTTCAAAAAATGTTTGAGCCTAGAAGGGGGAAATGAATGACTCTTTATCCCTAAAATTAGGTGTATATAAACCAAAACAAATTTAAGATGCTTAAACTGCAACAGCCTTTTCCACTGAAATGTGTATAAATACATGTTTTTTTTCTCATTGTTAGAAGAGCAGAATAAATAACAGCAACTGTGTATTTTAAAATTACATTGTTAATAAAATCCTGGTACATTTACATAAATGACAACATTAATGTACAATTAAAGAAGCATTGTAATATTACAGCAACAAAAGAGGACCTACATATTTGTACAGGTAGCTGGAGCAGCTACTTGAAAATACTTTCCAAGCCTTCTGTGATATTTCTCAGTGATAATTTTGAACCCCCTGTATGGCTTTCTGCTAATAAATAGGGTTATTGGAGCTGGTGATGTTCAGAAGCAGATGTGTACCTAAAGCACAAAGGGAGTGTGCCCTGACCAACCTGTCAGCTGATTAAGCCTAGACTAAAAATCCTTATCCTTGCATGCAATTTGCCTCTTGTGTAAATCCTTTAGGGCTGAGGCTGTGTCAGCTTTTGATGGATTTGTTTGTCGTTCCTTCTCCTTCCCTGCATCTGCCTAAACCATGTCTATATTGTGCTTTGGAGCTTGGGCCCAGCTGAGCCTCCTTCTTTTCCAGTGTGTTTAATTATAATATTAATTGTTGAGTTTCTAAGAAGGAACAGTTCTCCACTGAAAACTTGGTTTCCTCTTCTCCTTCACCCATTTAAATGAATGAAAGGGTCTTGGTGAATGCTTCTGGTGGGTGCAAGCAAAGCTCAGTGGGAACAGCTGGAGGTCTTTTCCTTAAATCTCTTGGTCAGAGCAAGGTCTGTGTTTTAACCTTCCTACAGTTGGGATTATTTGAAATAAAAACACACAAAAAACCACTGCTTTAGATTCAAAACTGTAGATTGAACTGTCTGCTTTTTCTTCTCCTAAGTCAGCTAGCATGAGGCCTTTCGGACCAGAAACATCTGTGAACAAAGGAAAAATGTGAATCTTGGGCATTTGAGTTGAGGCATCTTGTTTAAGGCTGCAGCCAACCCCCAGGAACCTGCCAGGTGTGCACTGTGCCCAGACCCCCTGAGGTAATGTATCTGTGGAAACAGCAATCCAGGGATGAGGCTGTGGGAGTGGACTCTAGAGGTCAGAGCTGCTAATTCCAACTAGCTCCAGAGAGAGACCAAACCATGGAGCTCTGTGTTCCTCTTGGGGAGACTTTTATTGCTATTTATGCAACTGGGCAGTTTTTAGCATAGCTCTTATTACACCTGAGTCTTCTAGAAAGTGTCTTTTATGCTGTGAGGTCTCACAGATAATGTCCAGAAACAGGTTTTGAAGGTGAAAGCAACTGAGACTATCAGACCTTGACAGTGAAAGGGCAGACAGTCTTTTTATATCTCCTCAAGATAAAACAAGATTAACAACTAGCACAGTGAAAACACACAACCCCCCGACTCTCCCCTCCCTGCCCCAGCTCGCTTCTTCATATAAGGTTTAAAGAACGAGTAATTTCAGAGTTAATATTAGTTTCTACTCAGCTTTGAACATCCAAAATATCTCTTTCAAGGTGCAAACAGTTTTGGGGGAAAAGTTGTGTCAGTCTCTTGCCATGTACAGACACTGGTGGTGTCACTGAAGTAGTTTGTGGCACTGGCTCATCGGATGGGCAGTGGATCAGAAAACTCCTTCTATGCAGCCTTTTTACACGGAAAACATCTGTTTGTGTGTGAACTAGGTGGTGTGTAGACACTTAAACCTATGTATTAGGTGTCAGGTCTAGGTAAAACTGCCTCTTTCTCTCCAGCCCTGCCTCGTGCTTGTGGAAAGGGCAGCGCTGATCTCTGATCATGTTCTTCCCTTGCACCCTCAGCCCTTGTTTGTGCTGTGCCAGGGGTGTTTCTGTGACAGCAGCAGCACAGAGAAGCCAAGCTCCCCCTCCCTCAGCACCCTGGCCTGGGGGTGGCTGCTGCAGGGGGCTTTCAGTGAGATCCAGGAGGCAAACAGGACAGCCACAGCTTTCCTGGCGACGAATCCCAGTGCCTTGTCCTGCCTCACACCCTGGAGGTGACGTACACGGAGTGCAGGCGCCCAGCCAGGGCTGTCTGCAGGTCCCTCAGTGGGTCCAGGCCCTGCACTTTGCTGTTCCTGCTGTAGATGAGCTGTTTGAATGAGTCTTGCTCCAGGAGGGAGCTCATGTGCTTGAGGAAGAAGCCCTCACAGAAAGAGGCCAGTTCGGGTGCGTTGTGAATCTGAGGGAGAGAGGAAGATTTTTTTAGCCTTGAAGTCCTAAATTACATCCCTGAGCCTCTCTTTCTAATGCTTTTTCCCTTTCCTAAGACAGTAAAAGGACAGTGGGAAAGCACTGAAGGCAGGACCAGTGATGGCTGATAATTTCTCCTGGTGCTTTTTGCAGGCACAGGTGTGAGCAGGGAGGCATCCAGGCTTTTTTAATTCCTTCTCCTGCTGGCCTGCTGTTGGCAGAGCCCCTGGCCTGCACTCCAGCCTCCTGCTCTTCAAGGAGCAGAGCAGCTGGCTGATGAAGTGGCCAAGGTACCTGTTTAGCTGTGACACACAACACTGCACTGCCAGATGGTGAGCACAGCTCAGGGCAATCAGGATACGGTTCACAGGATGTGAGCCTTGCTCCTACAAAAAGGAGATGGATGTAGAAGAACAGGGGTATTACACTTCTAAACCATACTGGGTGATTTCTGGCTGGGATCTTCCCTTTGCTTCAGAATCAGTCAGGTCAGTAATGGGAACAAAACTCAAGTTCAGCATTAAGAAGCTCTATGCACATACAGCCTGTTCCTGGGAACTTTGTGCAAATACTATTTTAAGGAAAAGTACTAAAGGCCAGTAAGAAATGGTCTTTTTCACCTCTCTACCACGGCACACTGTTAAATTTTAGGTCCTGAAAGAAACCAGCCCAAGTTCCACGGGAAAAAAAACAACCAAGTGTGAGAGTCAGGAATTGAAAAGCCTCAGTGTGACACGCTGCACACAAAATAAAAAAGTCATGATCAGCTCTCTGTTTCTTTTGCTTAAGGGATTTGATCCTGCAAAATTCCAGGAACAGCAAAGTATTTATGATTTATTGATAACACGGGTTATTTGCTACAGAGGTGAATATCTGCCACACAACTGGGTTTATGTTAATTCTGGAACTGTAAGGAATATATTCCAGCAGTAGGGGTCCTAGGAAAGGGTTTATTTCGTAGCTGCTGTGCCGTGATCAATGGCCCCTGCTGCTCCCAGGATTTGAATCCCTTGGGCTTTGCTGATGTTGCTGGATCAGCCTGCTCAGACAGCTCTCCCCTCCTCTGCAGGGATCCCCCCTCAATTTCCCACATGATTGCTTCACACAGGAAAATGCACTGGGGCTGTGCAGGACTTTACAGACTGGAAATGGAATCCATCTCACTTTGTGGTGGGGTAGAGTCTCCTGCAGAGAGATGCCCACCTGTGCCTGTGCTATTTAGTTCCCAACAGGAGCCCGTGGGAAGAATCCTGCTGTTTCATTGGGATTCTTAAACAAGGGGGGTTGGCATTTACCTTTGCATATTTATAGATGTTCACAGAGTTGTCCATGCTGATGGTCTGGGCACAGAGGATCTCACAGTGTCTCTGGAGGCCGTCCAGCTGGAACAGGCTGGCAGCCGACAGCAGCTATGGGGACGAGAAAGAAGCAGCTATTTGAGATCATGAGCCTTGAAAGGCTTAGGGAAGGCAAACAGAACGGATCATTTCCTCTCTGAACAGCCTCTGACTCCCTGTTTTAATGGCTAAGTCCTCATGAAAGAGCAGAAAGGCCACTCAATGCTAAAGTGATTGACAGACACACTTCCCGTCATAGCAAAGGCTCCTCATGCAGGAACTGTATTTGTGCTCCTTTCTGTCACAGAAGCACCAAGCAATGATGTTTTGAGACTTTTAAGCTCATTTCCAAGTGTTAAGTACACTCCTGGATTGGATGGGAGCTTGCTATTAGCTCCTGGAGTTTGCCTTTCAGCTCTGTTTATGCCCCAGTGCACTTGGCAAGACCTAGAAGAAAACGCTCTCTCACCTCTAAGATATCAGTGGTGGGAATTTCCATAGATTCTGTTCCTCCATAGTATAAATACTGCATCAGCATCTGGAATTGGAAGAAGGCCAGGCATGAAGTTATCACTGAAGTCACAAGGGGCTGTTGATGGCTGTGCTCCCCTTCCTGAACAGACGGGAATCGTGTCCTATTCCGGCTCTCGCCTCCACTGGTGGCTTTTTTTTTTTCCCCTAGCGTTGCAAATCTGCTTCTTTCTAACAGTCTAACTCTCTGGGGCTCTGAAAAGGGCCCTGCTGAGGATTTTAGGCTGAGGGTGACAGTGTGTCTCTGAGCAACATCGCTGTCCTTGTAAAGCGGTGTCTCAGATCCGGCTTTGTAAAGCCTGACCGGCTGGTCATGTGCGGAGCTGCCAGCGAGCCCAGCATGTGTGTCCCGGGGACCTCCCAGCCACTTGCCTTCCCTGCTGGGCTTCTAATCAGCTTCCAGCCTCCCATCAGGGCCAGAGGAAAAGGCCTAATTGTTTTCAGGGAGAGTGAGAGGCAGCTTTTCTGCTCTTTGATGTGCACGCGCTCACCCCCAGCCCAAATGGTACCATCCTGCCAGGGGCAGGACTGGATTTGGTGTTGGGAGAGAAGTGTCCTGGGTGCTGTGTAAGCAGGTGTGGGGCCTGCAAGCCATGCTTACCATGTCCCACAGGGGTAGTAACAAACTAAGCTGCTATTTTTAAACGTTTTCTATTTGTATATATTTGTATATATAACAATTGCAGGGGAGCAAAGCTGCTTTCCAGTAGAACACTCAGATTTCTGGTGGCTCAGCACCCTCCACTGTAACTGAGATGGCATCTCCTTAACTCATCTGATTATATTTGCCATCAAATTGTTTAACTCTGTGAAGCATTTCACTGTTTCAATTCCCATCTCCCTGTTCTGTACCCTTCTTCCAAATCTGAAATGCAGGTCTGGAAATCTGGAATACCATAACTATCACATTTCACTGACTTGTTTTTTAACTTCGTTGTGTGTAACCTGCCCTCTCTCCATCATGAATAATCCTCCCTTAGGTCCATTAAATACATAAATGTCAAAACAGCAAAGTGTAATTCTCAATTCTGAGTCTTTCTTGACAGGAACACCATTGATTTCTGATCACCTGATTTGAATGAATGTGAAGCCTCGTAATCCACCTGCTATAAATAATTTACTTTTGTTTAGCACAGCAAGAAAATGGTGCTGTAAAAAAGTATGAAAATTGTGTCTTAAAAGTATAAAATGACTTCAGTAGAAGGCTATTTTCTCCTGCTTAAAGGAAGAATCAGCTGCCTAGTAAGAAAATAAGACTACAGACTGGAGGATTCTGTTTTAAGGCTGGTCCTACCTGAGAAGTTTGGAAAAAGGATCAGAACACTCCTGAAATTCAGGTGTATTGAAAGGAACTCCATTTCTACTTGTAAATTACCTATGATATTACATCTTACCTTCCAAGTAGGTGAGAAGATGATAAAGAATAAAGCAAAAGTAAAATAAGTTACATACCTTGAAAATATTGTATTTCATATCACTGATTTCAACAGTCTTGCTGCCGTGGCTGTCATGCTCTGTTTTATTGGTCATTAGTGTCTTAAACCTGGAAATTGTTTTAAAAGATTAAGTTTAATAACACTTTAGATTGCTGTGTTAGTGTGTCATATACTCATCAACTACTGACAAGCAGCCAAAGCAAGGGGAAAACAAAGATCCTTGTTCTTGTTTGCAAGTTGAAAATTGAAACATTTCTTTCAATTTAATGATATTTAGTTAAGGGACAATTTAACCTACAAGTTGCTTGGGTCTGATCCAATCCCACCTTGTAATAGTTGGAAAACCTGTTACTATGCCAATAATAGAGAAAATAACTAATAATTCCAAGTGTACCAGATGAGTGTGAGATTCCAGGAAAGCTGGAGCGAGTGTAGCTCTCACTGCAAACTCCGACAGAAGGAAAGGGAATGGATATGTAAAATCCCAGCTACTGCACATGTTGTAGAGATAATCAGATTATTTAATTATATCCCTGGTTAGTGACTCACCTGTTAGATGCAGTAACCAGCAGGACTTTGTGTGCATAAAAGAGCTTTCCTTCTACTAAGAAAGTTACGTCGGACATTTCTTTGTTGTTCAGAAAGTGAGGATCTGTCGGGTGAGGGGAAAAAAAAGGTGAATTTTTTTTTTTAAACTGTGCATGTTTTTAAAAAATAAAAAAACCCAACCACAAGAACTTCCCTGTGTAGGTGAGCACCTTACCTAGGCGAGCTGGCAGCGTCTTCCGGATTTCAGGAATGCTGGGGATCGGGCTGCTCCCGTAGCAGTGAGTGAAGATGGACGCAAGCTGCTGGTTGATGGAATCATTCTGTGAGGGGCATGGAACAGGTATTAACACTCTGTTTGGAGCAGGTTTCAAATGTGCTGTAACAGTTCACTTGAGGCTTAGAGCAACTGCATAACAATAGGAATAACATCTCCACAGAGGGACAAGGATCTGAGCAAGTGTGTTCTGACAGAATTCTCTCAGCAACAGAGAACAGCTCATCAGCAAAAGCTCATGCCCTGCTCTGGAACAGATGAGCCCACAAGTGTGTCCTCAGCAAGGTCTGATTTACACTTAGCTCATGGTCAGATCCAACTTTGGTTCCCAGACTGCAGCTGGTTTTAGTCAGCCAGTTACATCTCTTGCTTTTAATTTAAAGGAGAGTCACAATGCATGTTGTAGTGACCAATTATGGAGGTATCAAGAGCTGGATCTGCTCCTCAGCTTCCCCTTCTGTGCATTTCAGGACTTTTTTGGGGGCTGTATATGCATTTAGATAAATGCTATCAGGACCATTTCCATACCATAACTCCTTAGGGACTTTGCACTTGTTCTTGTGCACAACCTCGTACAACAACAACAACACTGATTTTCACACTGTCACAAACTAATACTTACTTTGCTGGTTTTGAGGATATCAAACATGAGCTGCAAGCCTTCATTAACCAGTTCTTCATTGTAATCCTCCTCTTTAATAGTGACAAACTCCCTGAGGAGGGTCTGTACCACGGAGTAACGGGACTGATAGAAGGTTGTCCGTAGGGATTCGATCCACACGTGGAGTTTCCAGGGAACCCCTGCAGCCACAGAAAAGGAACAGTGAAAGATGATTTCCTGAAGTACCTGTGAGTAGATTGTCCTGTTGCTATTACTAACACTTGGCAGCACTGGAGTAGACCATTACATACATGCCAACAGCACATACATTTTGTTTGATATTGAAGGTGACTGAACTGGGTCATTGACAAATTGAGTTATCTACACAAGCAAAAGATTGGTACCAGGATCATAAATTGGAGCTTTATGCTGATTGTTAAGGACCACAGACTCCCTGTTTTGTTCTGAGCTTCATGATTAGTCAGAACCACAAAATACATTTGAACTGAACTTATAAGAATACATAACCCTACACAAACATGATGTGAGGGGTCTTTTCTCCTGGTTACCTCTAAGACACAAGCTTTAAAACTTCTGTTTCTTACCTTTAGATCAGGTTTGTTCTTTCACCTTTAACCATTAATCTCTGATGTTATTTATGGTTTTGAGACCAGCCGGAATTTTAGGTGTCAGTATCTGACAAAGGGATACATGGGAACAGAGAATCCAGCCAAGAGTGAGGGACATCCCACATCAGGAATTTGTGAAGAGCCTTAAACACTTTTTTGATTTAAATTACACAGCCTGGGATAGCTTTGCAGTTGGGGTTAGTGCTCCTGCAAGTGGAAGGGGCAGAGGAAAAAGCTTTTTATGCCTTAAATGTGCACAATGGTTAAAAGGAAGAGCTTACCCAGTGCCCTGAGCTCCATGGTGATGTCCACATAGCCATGCTCAGCGCTGTAGTACATGGCCTCCTGCAGAGCCTTCATCCTTGTCTTGCAGAGCTTGACCTGGCCCTCACTGGAGCTGCCCTGGCTGGAGGTGTCACTCTCCACCCCCTCAGCCAAAATCTCCTCCAGGGAGAGAACATCTCCCTTCACTTGCTGGGGCTGGGTCAGGAGCTTGCGCAGGACGTTCCTGAGGAGAGAAGAGATTTCACTTATTAATAAGTGAATTATCAATTCAGACAGGACTGTGGTGATTTAGCTGTGGGGATCTGGCTTAGTAAATAATTTCCTTCCCAAAGACAGACAGCAGGCACTATGGAACAGCATTTAAACCCCTTGTCCTTCCTCACCCCACATCCTGATGCCCTGTTTGTGCACATGGACTATATCCCTCATACGGTGGGTTTGTTTGGAATTTCACACAGCAGTTGCAAGAGAGAGACTTTCTTGTTTGTGTCCAGCCACTTTAGGAAGTTTGCATCATTGGTGTCCCTCAGCCAGCTGGAACCATCTGCTCCAGACATTCCCAATCCCAGCAAGGCCACCCAGCACTCAGCTGTGCTGCTGCATTGCCACTAGCTGGTGCTCTCCTTGCACCCACACCACTCCCTGTGGCTAAATCCAGTTAATTTGGGTCTTTAGGATGCAAGAACAAACCTTGAATTTCACAGTTTGCACGGTCAGAAAATGGTGGGAGGGGAACAGAGTTGGGAACAGAACAGTGTTTGTGTAGTTTTACACTGTAAATAACTGCATTAGGCTGTTCCAGCTTTGCAGAGTTTAGGCCTCATTTGAGCTTGGAATACTTTCCTGGGTGTATCCAGATGTGAGATGTACCTGGAGGTGCAGTTTTGTCACTGTAAAGCTCAGCTGGGTTCAAGGGAGCTGTTATTTAACATGCCATGTTGTACAACCCTGTGAGTATCTCTCAGCCCATCTCCATGGTTGTTCCAGGGCTGTTTTAATTGGCTTGTTACACTAACATTTTTCCCTGGGAACAGAAGGATTTCTGGAAGAGTTTGCAAGTAATGACCTAGTTCTAAATAACTACCCTGCAAACAGGGTTGGAAAGCCCAGGCTGGCTGCTCAGCATCATAATGACTCATCTCTTGGTTGGCCATCCAAAAACCAGAGGTGCAGTCAACCAGATTCTGTTGCAGATTATTTCTGCCACCTTAACATGATTAGATTCTGTCTCAGAACATGACCCAAGATCTCATAACCTCAATCTCATAACCTACCCTTAGGTGGAACTCAGTCTGCTCACACAGGCCCTAGAACCGGCTCCTGCTCACTCCTAGTGCTGCAGAGCCAGACCAGCAAGTGACAGACTAAGAAAAAGCAAAGATCTCTGTTGTATTTTGTGCTTTTGACTAAAATATAATCCCTTTCTTTTATGAAAATTATAGTTGCTGAATAATGAAGTCTTGCACCAATTTTTTCTCAAAGGGATGGAAAAAAGAGCAACAACCAATTTAAAAATCATGCCTAAAAGGCATCAGAATAGATTGAGAAACTGTGCTTCTCTAGAAATGGTTATCAGGAGTGTCCTAACACCATCTTCTGAGCCGCACACCCTGGGATTTGGGTCACAAAGTCACATATACCCATATATATGGGTATATATATACACCATAGTGCAAAATACCCATAGTGCAGAAAACCCACCCTGTTCTGAACATAAACAGAGCCTTACCTGTGCCCGTGTGCTGCTGAGTGGCTGAAGCAATTCATGTCTTCATGGAGAGATGAGGACATTCCATTGACTTCCAGCATGCTCAGGAGGGGATCTGCACCCCTGCTTAGCAGCAAACTGACCAACTCGTAATTCCCTGGGGAAAAATGGACAGAAACATTATGATGGTTCCTCTCTGGAAGCATAAAAATAGGAGTGGTAACAGGCAGGGCTCCTTTCTCTGTCCTCATTAGATGGAGGAGTGAGTGGTGGCAGGAGACCCAGCACAGCGAGTATCAATATCCCTTCAATAAATCTTGGAGGAGAGCAAACCAGAGACTCATCATAAAAGCACAAAAATGAAGCGGAAAGAAATCAAGGGAAAAAAAGTAAAACCAGTTAGAGGTGAAAAGTACTGAAAAACAACAACTAGCACAGACTTGTTCCCAGAATGCCCAACTCCTGACAGCCCTCTAGAAGAACTGCACAATTTTACTTGTACTTAATAAACTAATAAAACAAATTTCTTTACATAACAGTTATTTTTCCCCAGGCTGGATTTGAATTTGCTAATTTTTTTGCATCTGGATCTTAGATCCATAACATGCCTGGACTAGGCAGGGCTGGTTCATGTTTCTTGACAGTGCTTTGCAAAGGAGTTGGTGCCGTCAGCTTTGCTGTGGTGGCCTCTGGGAAGAGGCAAGTGTGGGACTAATTGCAAAAGCAGATAATCAGGGCCCATCAGGCTTGTGGAAGCAAGAGCTGGAGCATGCTGGGGCCACAAGGAGCTCACCTGCAGCCGAGGCCAGCTGGAGGGGTGTCTCGGCGTAGTTGTCCTCTCCAGTGTTCACAGCAGAGCCCTCAACGTGGGCACCAGCATCCAAGAGCAGCTGCAACAGGCACATGGAAGACAGGGAGGTGGGAAAAGAGCAATTCAGAAGGGCAAAACAGAAGGGGCTGTTAGTTAGGAAGGAAAACTAGTGGATTCACACTGAGGAGGGCATGCACACAAAGGGCCCATCTCAAAGGCTACAGCAAAGTATCAGTTATGAAGCAAATTTCTCTTGCATTTCCTCTCTCATTCCGCAACATGAATGGCAACTTACAGTTTTCTGAAAATTTTCTTTTGTTCACTGTGCTTTCAGTATTTGAGTTTATTCTGGAAAGGGGCTCAGCTGGCAGCCTGGAGAACATCACCACCTATTTTTTATCTCCTTTATGGACGCGCCTTTGGAATTGTAATTTCCCCACTCCAAAGAGCTCTGCGATCAGAGCTTCTCTTGAGCACAGGAAGTCCATCTTACTTAGCTTCATGCTGTGTGCAGGAAGTGGGGTTCCTCCAGGGAATTAGCCCTGGAGCTGGTCATGGCTCTCGATCTGTTGCCCTGTGGAGCCTGCTGAAAAAGGAGCTCTGGCAGCTGCAGTGATTTGTCACACAGAACCTGCTTTCATTGAACCACTGAGCTGCCTGTGAGGGAAGAACCCCCTCCCAGATGAAGGGGACAAGGTTACAAGGTGATGGGGATGTTTTATGGCCAGGTGGGGCTGGCAGATGGCACAGGGGGTGGGACAGGGCAGGGAGGACCAGCCCTGTCCATGTGTATCCACCAGGATATTCTAATTGTGGGTAGTGCAGTCCAGCAGGAGCTTTGATATACTTGGCTTCATGTCCTGGGAGAATCAAACTCATATCTTACATGTAAATTATGGCTGCCCAGGCAATCTGCCAGGTGGAATCTAATCTTTATAATTATTTACAAATGTACACAAATGATGAGTGTGTGCAGCCTCCATTTAGTTATATCTTTTTTTCTTTCCCTTGGAGCAGAAGGTAAATTAAATTCATCAGCAACTATCTGCTGTGATCAGTTTGTAATTCCTATGGAAGTCCGTGTAGGATTTCCAGGACTCCACTCCATTTTGCTGCCCCTTAATTCCACAGAAAAGGGAGCAGGGAGGATGTGACAGGCTCAAATCCCATGACAGTGTCAGTCTTATTCATGCAACTTTCAAGGATTACAGAGAAAGTTACAGATGATTTGCTTCAATTAGAGCAGAAATCAGCACACACAGAATTTTTGCATATGTGAATTTATAAACCAATTAATATCTACTGTCAGAAAGCTCCTGATCAAGCAGTCAAGCTGTAACCGCTCCACTTGAAGCACTACTTTGTCTAATACTAAAGAAATGATTGTGCACCACTGTTCTTGAAGCAGTAAGCCTTGGATCAATACTGAAACCAAAGAAAAATAAGGAAACACACTGTGTTTTATTACGAATTCCATCATCAATTTTCCTTCTCCTCATTTCCAAACACGCCATTTTTGGCTGGTTTTTTAGGAGGCTCCCACCAAACCGCAGGTGGAGCCTGGGCCAGATCTGTGCTCAGGAAGGCTGAGAGTCAGGGTCACAGTGCTGCACTTCAGCCCCTCCATGCCTCCTGGAAGGATTCTCAACCAGAATCTTACCTGGACCACGGAGATGTGCCCGTGTAGCACAGCAAAGGTGAGGGCAGTCCAGTGCCGGCTGTCGGGATGCACCGAGGGGTATCGTGGAGAGGTACTGGGAACCTGGGAGAAGGGAACCAGGCAGTCATTCCCCACTCTGTCTGTCTGCCACCATCTCTAGACTTGTACAGACCTCGCTTTTTCCTTTGTAAGTGACTTAGGCCACTTAGAGAACACTGCTACCACCAGTCCCCTGGGCCTTTTTAATGGGCTTACTGGTTTCTCCTCATGGCAGCTCCTTCCCCTCCCCCTGCCCCCGTGCCTATTAGACTTCCAATGCCAATCATAATTGTAGTCACTAAATGCTCCAAGAGGTTTGGAAGGTTTTCTCCTCCCTCCCAAATCCCTGAAGACGTGGTTTCTGAAAGAAATTCCTTGCTTGAAGCTTCCAGATCTGAAGCCTTTAGTTTCTAGAAGGAATTTCATAGCTGCTCCTATTAGTTTACAGATGAATAATTATGGGGAGAGGGTCCTCTGTTACTCACTGGTATATCTAAATTTGCTCCAGCATCTATAAGCATTTGGACCATGGCTTCATCTCCAGCAGCACAGGCGTACATGAGGGGGGTCATACCCTTCAGAAAGAAAAAGAAAAGAAAAATCAAGTTGGCTTTCTATATCTATCAACAGTGACACTGTCACGGACACAGGGAGTTTGAATCTTGTGTGTAGGGACAGCATAACACATGTTTTTAAAACAGTTTTCTATGCAGAGTGGGAACAACATACTGGTATTGGAAAGTGAGGTGGACAAAACACCAGGGGACAAGGCTGCAAGAATACAAAAGGCATCACTGAAAATCCTTGCTGTGTATTGTCCACAATTCTCGAGGTTTCTCAAGGCTGCCAACAAAGAAACAGCATTTCTTGGCTCATTTGTAGCCAAATGAACTGAAAGCAGAACACAACACAAAAATACAGAAGATTAATTTATTTGGCAAATTCTCCCCATTGCTAAAATCCTATTTGCCACAATATTTCAGCATTTCAATCCCATAAATCTCTCTCTCTCTACTTAACCAGCAAACCATGACAGCTCAGAGATGAATTATGAGAGAAATGAGCCTTACTTATGGAGTTCATTCCAGAAGTAGCCAAGGACAGAAAGGAAATGGCCTAGTAAAATCCATTCCTGCTCAAATCCTATGACTTTCCTGCCCCCCCCTTAATTATTGCAGGTGTTTGAATTTTTCACAGGTAGCATCTCTGTTGCTTGGTGTGTAACAATAATACAGTTTCATCTTTACTGGGACCTGTATTGTAAAACAGAATTACATCTCTCACATAGGAGTTCTGCTCCTGAATCTGCAAGGCATCTTTTCCAAGCAGCCACGATTCCAAGCTTCCTGCTTTGAGGCAGTTACATGCACAAGTCTTTATAAAAAAATCTTTACAAAGGCATATCTGGGTGAGAGGGTTTGGGAGGATCCCCTCTCATTAGAGACAACTAAACTGAGAATTCAAAACTCAGGTCTGCAGGCACAAGCCCATATTTACTGCCCCGGTCAGGGTTCTAAATTTACAGACTTACCTTTTCCTTTTTTTAAATTTTTAGTATTAGTTTTGCATTCCCTACTTGTTCCTCAGTATGCAAAGGGAAGAAGAGAGTGTTTGCCTAAAAATCTCAAATCCCATTAAACCAGAGTGCTGCTCAGTCCCCACTAGAAGGGAATAACAGGGTCCTGCTCCAAATTTGAGTTTCTGAGCACATGTTCTGAGTTCTTTTCCAAAAATCTTCAAACTCATAGATGGAGAATTGGGTCTGAACATGCTCACACTCTGGGAATGGTCAAAATTCAAACCTGGATCTAAAGCCTTCATGTTAAATTAGTCAAACAGTCCTGTCTAAAGCTTTTGCTTCACTTGGTAGGTGAGAGATGCTCACACCTGTCTGTGAGGCCTTGCAGGTGCTACCAACTATGCAACCTGTTAGGGAGATGCATCCTGACCAAAAGAACCCAAATATATGAGCTGATACACTCTATCTTATGATAGACATGGAGACCTGTTTTATCTTGTCAGTTTTCCCAAGGTTGGGCATCTGCCTTTGACTTATTCCTTTCCAGGAAGGGCAAAACAAACTGGTGGCAAAATTCAGCTTTGGTTTCATACTCCAGCAGAGCTCGCTCCTAGAACTTGGATTTCACTCTGTCTGGGGTTGGCAGTGCCATGAAGGATCAAGTGGAGAACTTCCAGGCAACAATGTCTCCAGAGGGGACCTGTCCTGCCCTCCTTGGCTGGTGCCAAAACACTCTGTGTGTGGCAAAGATGACAGAGCTGTCCCACTCACAGCAGGGCTGGTGAGAGGATCCCATCAACAGGATGACAATGAGACCATCAATCAGTGACAGAAGAAACTCCTCCAACTTCCAAGGACCTGTTTACAAGGATCTCCACACATACAAAAGCCAGACAGCTCCCAGTTTTCTGGCTGAATGAGAGGTAGGAAACACCCCGCAGCGAGAAGTGACAGCCTTGGCACCACTGTCTGTGGTGTTGGGATAGAAAGGTTCACACAGCAAAATAATCTCTGAGAGAACAAAAGGGCTACAGAAACAGGAACTGCAAAATTTATTTAAAAAAATTTAATACAGCAATTGGAAAACCTTCATAACATAAATCTGCCACCTTTGCCACTTTGACAGAGTGAATATCAGGGGCACCTATGAGGGGATACACACCTCTGTGACCACAAAGCTTGCGGTACTGGGTACGTAAATAAGGCAACTACATACCTAGATATATTTCTGCTCTATTTGTGTATACATCCACACTTCCTCTAAAACTGCAGGATGGTGGGAAGTACCAGAAAAGATGTGCCAGGTTCAGAATTCGGTCTGAAATGCTACTGCAGTAAAATGCTGCCTGTAAGAAAACGTCTCTACCTGAACATAAACCCTTCCCACTGCTCAATATCCTCTTGTTTCAGAGACATGACAGCTCATTCTCCTTGCTGTGACAGCTGTAACGAGTGTTTATTTGGGGGAGGTGTTTTCTTTTTCCTTTTTAAATTAAAAGCTAATTCTATGCACTGAATGATGCCCCAGAGGACAGACTCTGCTGTTACTTGATGGGACTGACAGCATGAGCAGAAGCAGCCAGAGATTCCCAGGACTACCAAATCCCTATGGTTCAATGGAGCAGGGAACAGGTAAAAATGAATAAACAGACACATCAGCACGATGGACTTTGAGCAAATCTAGTACTGACTGATGACACCACTGGGGTTCTCAGTGCTGTTTTTGTATTCCAAACTGTTCCGAGCCTGAAAACCATCAGACAGCAACACCTTTTGGTCACTCATCACTGCCCCAGGCTGGATTTGGGCTGTTGAAGCAGAAGAGAGTGTCAGTGGCAAAACCCACTTTGTCTTGACATCAGACTTTCCATTCACTGCCTGTGTATTAACCTGTCTGCCCTCAGTGCCTGAGACAGCCCATCCAAGGAACAGACCTACATTCCAGCTGATAAACGATTCACTCCAGCCTCTGATGGGCATTTCTGGAGGGGTAGCATGAGAGTGGGGTGGGGGAATTTGAGGCGTTATTTTTTTATGTTTTCAGACTGCACTTTCAGACTAAAACACGAGGCAGAATTAGAAAAATCCTTGGAGAGGCAGCAAACACGACCTGGTGTATTGATTTGCCACATGGAAAGGAACATGGAAGTTGTTCATGCAGAGAATTTGTGGGTGTGTTTGTGTTCTGTGACATACCTGGTCATCCATGGTGTTAACCCCATCAGGTCCCAGTGCATCGATTGCTTGGTTGATCAGATCTGTCCTCCCGCAGTTCAGCATCCGGAAACCCAGATCCTGCTGGAATTTTTCAGTAGCAGCTTTAGCATCCAGTCTCCGGAAGGAACTAAAGCAGCATTCAGGTCTGTGGAAGACAAAATCATTCCTGGATGGTGCCCAAACCATGACAGGCACTGAGCAACCAGGGTTACTGCAGCAGGACTGAGGTTACTGTGCTGTGCAAACCCGCAACAACCAGGTCTCCTTAGTCCTACTTCTCAAAACCCCCTGTATTGTTTTAAATAATTATCCATATATTTTTTAAATATCATATTTGTATTTTTCTGCCTGTTATAGTCCATCAAACATACATAAAACATATTGCAAGGAGGAGAAAGAGGTGGAGAGAAAGTGTGTTTATTATACCAGTGTCATTCTAGGATGAAATAATTTTGCTGTCTGCTTACTGGACTAGCTGTTATTTTGAAATAAAAGACATTTCTGAAAGAAAACAGATATCCCTTAGTCTTTTCTGGGGAAAAAAAAAAATCAAAATTTTTTAAAAAATGAAATAAAAATGAAATTTAGACAGCGGAACACTTTCAACTCTTTTCCAACGAGGAAAGCGTGTTAACATTTCTACGAGGCTCTACTAACTCCTTATCCTTCAGACGAGTATCAAACAACCTTTATCTCATCTGCATGGAGCCCAGGGATTACTGTAAAACCCTCTGGTTGTCTGCTCACAGACTCCCGAATCCAAACCTGGAAGTGTATCTCCTTCACTGAAGAAGCACTTTTGAACTGGAGGTTTCCTATCTCAGCTGGGCACTGATATGCTCAGGCCTTTGATGTTATTTTGGGGTGATGCCTCCACCACCTGCCTGGTTTCCAGCACAGCCTCTTGTGCAAGCTTTCAGTGAGTGAGATATCACCCTGCCAAGTTCCTCTGATAAATGAGATGCTTCCAGCACAGCTAAACCTCTTCTGGAAACTCTGGATGGCCTTGCCAGAGAAACAAAACACTCATCACTTCACGTAGAAGATTCAGGATGAATCTTATTCACATTTTAGTTCAGCTGGTCATTTTTTTTTTCTGAGCTTGCACGGCTGGTGGATGACAAATGGTGAGCAGAAGCTGTGAGCAATGTGCTGAGCAGGCAAAGATCCCCCCACAGCCTGGGGACTGGTCACCCTTGTACCAGAGGAACCAGCATCTCACCACAGCTGCTCTGAGAAAGGAACTGCAGCAGGGCACAATTTGGGGAAGAGTCAGCAGGGAAGGGAGCCACTGGTTCTTTGGAGATACAGCTGCAAGTAAAATGTGCCTCTGTGGCAGCTGAGCTTTAGAAGGCAAGATCACTGAACTACTCAGATCCTAGATCAGGACACAGCACAGAGCAGAAGAGGACAGTGGGGTAAAAGGCTTAATATGCTGGACATATATAAGTCTTACAGCTGGGCTTTAATAACCCTCTTCTACTAAGGTGGTTGGTACAGTACCACGGTGCTACAGTATTATGACTTTGTATAATAGCAAGAAGAAAGAGAAAAAGAAGAATTCTGTGAAAAAAGTGAAATAAAATGACACCTCTTGAAATCCAGTGAACCTCAGAAAATAAGAGTTTTTGAAGGGATGGCACTTGCCTTCACATATTTTTCCTGTTTTGCCAACAGGCATAATTCCACCCAGAGCTATTGTCAGGAGGAAGAACGCTCACTGACAAGCCCTGCAGAGCCACCAGAGAAACACAACAGAGGTGTCAGGGACTCCAGAAAAAAAGGGGGCTGTAGTTCTCAGTGTAGAGCCGCCAGGAGGCCAGTTGAGGCACGAGAATTTGAAGTTATAATGCGTGAGCTTTGCTGCTGGGGACCCACAGGCTCAGCCCATGCAGAAGTTCCTGTTGTTCTAGAGCTGGACAGTGTGATCTTCTCTGATGGATGCAAAGAAATTTGTTTTAGAGCGTGATAAAAAATCCTACAAGAGCTGGGAGGGAGAGCTCACTGCTCGCTGCTGAGCAGCAGCTGTAACCACAGCAGGATTTCCATGTGTGAGTTGTTATCCTGTGGAGAAGAAAGGGAAACCCTTGCATGCTTCCCAGAGTGAAGGCTGTGCTCCTGCAGCTGCCCAGAGAGCAGCTCCTGTGTCCAGGGAAGGGACTGAAGAACTGGAGGTTGACTGGGAGGAATCAGGGAGGCAGAGCAGGGGATGGGATAGGGCTGAGGTGTCCTAGTTTGGGAAGGGATATTTTCAGAACAGAGCAGGAACCTGGTGTGCTCTTTGCATTCCATAAGCAGTAACTACTACTGGAACTACTGGAAACAAGTGGGTTAAACAACTACTACTTACTGGTAGTAAGTGATTTAAACTACTACTGGAATTACTGGAAACAAGTGATTTAAATTTGCCCTGCAGTGAGGAAAAATAATAATAAAAACATTGTGTGCTAATAATATTAACCCCCCCAACACTTATATTTAAGTAAGTGGAAGGGAAATACAGCTCTCTGAAATCTAACATTTCCCCACTTAGATTCTCATTTAACCAATAACAGGTGAGTGCTGAGGATGTTAATAAATAAATCATCTGGCAAACATAAACCAAGAGCATCCTATTAGAAGGCTTCATCCACTGAGACTCAAACAGTTGTTGTGGAGGACTGCGGCAGAGAATAGATATTAGAGGTCTGAATTTTAGGTTATACTAACTATACTCTGTTTTTCTGCACAACTTCTCTTTCAGGGCTGTCAACAGACCCTACCTGGTGCACCACCACTGCAAGGAACATCATTATTATTATTTAATAAACAGACTTTTAGCCTGTGCTTCATGAGGAAAAGGAAGTTTCAATTTGCCTACAGTCACACAGCAAGCCAGGAATCAATCAATCAATCAATCAATCAGTTCTAAGATTTCCTTTCCCTCTAAATGTGCTGGATACAAAAGACTGCTTTAAAGGGTCATATAAAGGGCACTGGGAATGAGGGATTCCTCTCTCTTTTTTCTGTTACTTTAAATCTTTCATTCAAGGTAACCTAGAAAGCAAAGAATAATCTTGTAATTAAGGCACAAAAAAATCCCCCAAATCCTTGTTTTTCAGTCATTCTCTGTCTCATTCTTACTTTTGGCAAGACAAAAATCTCTGCAGAGTTTGGCCAAAGCTACTTTACCTCTTGGAGTACTTAAAGGTTAAACAGGTGTCACCTGTGGAGTATCGTGAGCTCTGGCTCCCGTGAAATGCAGTAAGAAGAATATTATAAGAGTCATACAGTTACTGTAGGTGCTTATAAAGCTTAGGCCACGTACTTGAGCTGCCTGGGCTCGCAGTCCAGCCCAGGTAGGAGCAGCCTGGCTGTCTGCCTGATGTCATCGCTGTCCACGGTCAGGCTGCGCCGGTGCTCGGCGTAGGTGATGGCCACTCTCATCCACTCCATCAGCGGGGGCAGGAGCATAAAGGGGCTGTGAAAATGAGAAAAAGCCCATCATTTAAACACTGCCTGATGCAGAAGGACACTTCATTGCTTGCAGGTGGGAGGCTGGCATGGGTAAAACCCACCTGTGGAGGCAAACTGTGCTCAGAGAGACTGGCAGGTCACAGCAGGGGGAAGGAGGTAGAACTGCTCAGCCTTGGTCATCTGAGCAGCTTCTTACCAAAAATAGGGCCATGCTGGTCTCATTTTGTACTGAGCCTGAATAGAAGGGACCTCCTTCTGCTGTTCTTAGCTACAGGTCAGGCCCCTCCAGTACTTTGCTTTGGATCAGAGGGGTTCTCACCTCAGCATGCAGCTCATATAATAATTGTGTCCATTCTAAATAATCCATATGTAGAGGCTGCTCCACCACCAGGAACATGAAAAATATCCTTGATGGTTTGAAACTTCAGTTAAGCCAGGCTAATTCAGTCCTACCTCCATTAAGCTTTACATTACCACCGTTCAATAGCTTTTCACATCCTACATTTCTCAGGCCTCCATTTTTGCCCACCTGACCCTCTAGAGCACAGGAAAACTGGTGGAGCAGGGAGGTTTGACTCCATGAGAAGGGTTTCAAGGCAATAAAGGGATATAAATAAGGTAATAACAACAGCACTGGTGATGAGGCCCCCTCATTCCTACAAGAAGAATGAGCACAATACTGAGACTACACATTAATATATAGGTACCATAATACTCTCATACACAACATATCTCATTCACTCTCTCAATAAACAGCCAGACCGATCTATTATATGCTTGATTTTCCCCCAAGGATACCTGTCACCCCGGTGGAAGGCTTGGAAGTGCCAGCTCTCCCATTTCCAGTAATGACCTTATTAACGCTGTGAAAACAAAAAAGCCTTTTCCATTTAAGCATTCAAAAGAAAACAGGGGAGAAAGTACCGGTTGCTTTACAAAGTTCAGAGAGAAAAAAGATACAGATGAGGAAATACGAAGTTATTTGGGCATTAATGAAAGCAGCTGAAGCCATGAAAGGCATTTTCAAAGCTCTATGTGTGTACATGTGCACTCTCAGGTGAGAGCAGTAAGAGTGAGCAGCACCGATCCCGTTAGAAACCATTTATCCATAACGGGATTTGCAAGCAGAACTCCCTTTGTTATGACTTTGAACACCCTTGAGGGTGGAGTAACTCCACTCTCTAAAATATGTGCTCTTTCCGTTTTACCAGTTGCGACGTGCACCCTAAAATGCTGCCATTGTCACCTTGCAAGCACATCCACTGTTTTTCCCCTCTTCTCCTTCTCTTCTGCTGCTGCTGGAGAAGCAGTATCTACAAAATCAGAGGTGTTTTAAGCACCTGATCCACCCTGGATCGCCAAAACAAAGGTGTTTTTAACGGGACTGTTGTTACCAGTCTGTTTTATGTCAAAGAATGGGAATATCAGAGTTGCTACATTTATCACTTTGAAAATCACCCAGTAGCTCCTCTGAAAAGAATGGGATGGGATGAATCACTCCAGCCCAGCCAATTCAGAGCTGAATGACTTCCCTAAGGGAAGAGCAGCAATTGTCAATAGGCATTTGGGAGCTGCCTTTCAACAGCCTATTCCAGAGAACGTTGACCCTTGTCAGGCCTGCAAAGGAGGCATTTACACTTTTTAAATTCAGGTCCTTAAGGGAGGAGCCAAAATTAATTATTTGTACTTTCTATGTACTCTGAGAGTCCACAGTATGGGATTCAAGCTCTGTAGAGGACAGAGAGGTAGGCAAGGGAGCCTAAAAGCACTAGAATTAAATACAGAATTAAATTAAAGTTAGATGGGGTGAAAAGCTCAGGAGCACTGGAAAAGCTCATCTTCCAAGCAATTATATCTGCCACTTTTTATGGTAGATAAAGATTTAGGCCACATCCCAGCTTCCCTGACACTCCCAAATGATGGAAACACTGCTGGACAGAGAACCATGTGGATCCAGCCCTCATCATACTTTGGGAACTGTTACTCATGGCACTGGTCAGCCAACAGCAAATACCACACAGTCTGCACCAGAAATAACACCTAAATTTCCATTCTGTAAAAAAATCCACATGTGCCAGCATTATAAATGGCTTCCAAACAAGCCATTTGAATGTGGAAAACCTGCTTGGGGAGGAATGGGAAAGAGAAAGGATTTTTTTTTTGATTCTTTTTTTAATCTCAACAGATTTTTCCAAAGGCTTTAAAAGTGACAGCTCAGACTGCCTGGTTACCCTGCGTCCAAAGGGAAACAGGCTTTGAATTGCAAAAGGCAGTGTCAGGAAGGATGTTCTCCTCATAATGCTCTTCTGATTTTCCAAACCCCACCACTGGCATTGCTGTGCAAGTTGGATAATTCATTCTTTATTATCCATTATTCTATCAGGAGTGACAATAATGACTCCAATTGCTATTTTGCTGTAAAAACTTTACTTCTCTCCCAAATTTCTAGCTTGAGGATGGGCTTTCTATTCCTCCCTCCACCCTTTTATCCAGCTATTTCCTTTCTCCGTACTATGGGAACAGCTTTATCTTTGCTCACTGACACTCCACCAGCTAAGCAGCATTATCACAGGATCGAAGCAGAAAGAAGAAATACTGAATAAAACACCTACACTGGGTCACATTGCACTAAGAAAATAAATGCAATTATTCATTTTCTAGAAAATAAAACACAATTCTCATCCCTGTGGCCCTTAACCTGGGCATCCATCTGCCTCCAGGGAATCACTGATCATTTCACAGTCTGAAAAACACTGCAGGAGGGGAAGGGGAAAAACCTTCATGGAAAATTAACTGGGAGATGCTGCAAGCTAAAGAATTAATTTCTGTCTCTGCATTCCTGTCTGTGCCACATTCTGCAAAGTGCCATTTTCCTCTGGTCTTTCTGACATTTAGAAGCATTTGGCAGCTCATTAAATTCCACACATGAAGTGATCCAAGCCTTGGGAAGCTGTCATATTCCAGCAGCAGCTCACTGGGGACACACACTCTGTGATGTCTGTTACTGTCACATGTTGTCAATATTCCATCCATAGGTTCTTTGAAATTCTCTCCATTTAGAACTGGACAGCCACTCCATTCCCAAGGGGATCAGGTTGGAGCTGGGTGAGATGTGCTCTGAGAAAGGCTGGACTTCACTATCGGCTTTTCCCCCTCATTTGAACTAAACCATATTGTTTTATTAGACCTAACCAAGGAGGCCAAGCAGCACTTGGCAGAGATTTTATATCAATTTTATACTAGCTTTTTCCTGGAAAAAGGTACTGGCATGTGGTGATCACATGCAGCATCCTAGAGGAGAAGCTGAGGGATCACAGACCTCCTGGGTACCAGTTCCTCCTGGGGAGATTCTGACTGGACACAAAAGGAAAACTTTCACAATGAGAACAGTCAGCCACTGGAACAATTTCCCAAGGGAAGTGGTGGATTCCTCAATATTGGACACTTTTAGATTTGTCTGGACAGGGTGCTTGACCAACTTGCTTTTGCCAAAAAAGGTTGGACCAGGTGATCCTTGAGGTCCCTTCCAACCTGGTGTTCTATGATTTATCCATCACAAGGAAACCAGTCCCCAAAGTGGGCTCTTCTGAGGGTTTTTAAGAGTGCTGGGATCCAGGTATTTCTGGCAGAGGGAAGTTAATTGTATGCAAAAAGGAAAGAGCTCCAGAGTTGTTAGAAAATTATGTCATGCCTCCTCTGCACTGAATGCTGGGACAATGCTTTGGAGTCTGACTCTCAGAAGTGAGGAATATCTGCTACCTCAGGTGAAAACAGTCAGTTTTCCCAGAAAAAAACAGATATGCTGTCACATTCCTTCCTCCTCCCTGGGTCCCCAGGAAGGTCCTGTGATTAGATTGCTGAAGAATCACAAAATAGTTTTGGATTGGAAGGAACCTTAAAGATCATCTCATTCCAAATCCAGGAACACCTTCCATTAGACCAGGTGGCTTTAAGCCCCATCCAACCTGAAGGAAAAAAGAAGCAAGAAGGAGATATTTTCCCTGCAGCCACACCTCTTCTCTGCTGTTTTTCATTGCCTTCTGTTTTGCTCCATCGAAACAAAGCAGGAGCCAACAGTGAGAGCAACAGTAAGAGAGAAAAAACTTGTTCTTCTAAACAAAACTCTCCTTCTTCTAAAGCAGGGAAGAAATGAGTGTCCTAATGGAAGCAGGTGAGAATGGCAAAATTCACCTCACTCTTGGCAGCCTGAGCAGGTCCTGAGTCACACAAGCACAGTCTCCCATCCTGCCTGTCCCATGGTCTTCTAAATGCTCTGAGTGAAAAGTTTTGTTTTGCCTTCATCTGTAACTGCTCCTCTGTAAGTCCCTCCTAACATTTTAAACACACACAAACTTTAGCATCACAAAACATGCGTAAGTATCAGAATACTTCTGGTCAGAGTGGGGTAGTCTATGGTATATCCCCATATTTGATTTACTGGAAGTATAGAGATTCTACTGCAGAAAAGAACCCCAAATCTTTAAAGATCAGTGTGTGTTTTTGTAAGGGACTGGAAAAAAAAATAAAGAAAGGTTTTCAGTACATTAATGTTTGAGTTTAATGCTGGAACCAAACTCTATGGCTCAGTCTCACCTTGCCCTAAAATGAGAGAGCTCAAAGTCACTAAGACTTTGCACCAAGATGGAAAAATCCCAAGGATGGCAGCAGAGTGAAAAAGAAATCAGAGTGAAGTCTCATTAATTGGAGAAGGGAAAAGACTTTGAGGCAAGACAGAGTATCCAAAACCCAAACCATGTCATGCTGATGTGGAAAACAGTGGCATATTTATAATTTGGAATCTCAAACACTTAAAACCCCTCTTCAGGCAGCAGAAAAAAAATAATATCTCAGAGTATGTAATTACATGTGAATGAAATAACAACAGAAATGCTGATTTAGAAGAAACACAAAATCTTTGCTCCAAAATACAATGAGTCTCAGTCATGAGCCATTCCTCACAGACTTAAAAATATTTTACAGAATTTTAAAACTTCCCAGATTTAC